ACTTTGGCCCCCAAGGCCCTGTCATCCTTCTCAGTTGACTCGGTCGTTTTGATCTTGCACCATCATTTGCAAAATCTTGTGCTTGTGGTGAATTATCAGCAATTAACCCTCGACCTGGCATCCATGAACTCCCCCGTCGCCATGCACTTTGCCTCGCAAAACGATCACGCCCTTCTCCTTCCGACAGGTGGCCCCGTTGTTCGAAAGACCCATCCGTTGCACGTCTACCCAGGAAAAACGACCTACTCCCACTCGGGGAATCTGAAGGACCAGGGTTACGAATTCTTGGTGTGTTGGGTACACTCTCTTCTTCTTGTGGTCGTCTAGTCCGGCGTTTCCTTCTTATACGCGCTGGCTGATTGAATGGTCCCTCATCCGCGGTTTCTTCTGCATCAGCATCACTACTTTCCTCGTGTAATGTTTGTGGGATATTCGTAGGAATTGGTGTCGTTCCGAGTCCTTCATCGAAATAATTCGTGGGGGTGCTTTGACTTCTGCCATGTCCTTGCATTCCAATTGGGGTAGCTAAAGCCTTCAATTTTGACATCAAAGATGCACCTCTCCTATCCTTCGCAGGTGTATCAACATCTTCCACACCCCATGAATCTTGTCGTGCAGAGTTGGAAGGCTCAACAGTAGCCATATCTCTCGCGAACGATACACTACGTCTGCCGGTTGGAGTTGATATACCGTTTATTGCGGAGTGACTCTCGTGAGGAAATGAAGATGGGGGAGGAACAGGGGAAAACCCCGTGGCTGCATTGTTGGCAGATATTCCAGGAGAGGTAGCATCAGATGCAGAGACCATGGGGCTGTTGTGTGGAATACCTCCATTCATATAATCAACTGCCTCATCAGATACAGGGCTTGTAATCCCATTCGAGGTCGATGTAGGTATAGCCAGATTTAGTGAGTTTCCAAACTTCTCAGAGCTCGCAGTGCGTACACCCGATGGTCGGACAGCTGCTGGTCCATTTCTATAAGTATTTGCGGGCGATTGCGAGCGGGGAGTTCGTGTAGATGGTGAAATCGAGCCTGTTGTGCTTTGTTCCATTGTGAGCTCTTGAATCTAGTATTGAGACTCTATTCGGAAGTGATCTCAATGCCCGATAAGACGAGTCCTGCTAGGACAATATCGTGATGTTAGAATTATATCGCAAAGTTCATTGTGAGCAACCAACTATGTCGTAAGTTGTAAAGTTTAATCGATCCCTCGATGCAATGTTGAAAGTATCAAGGGTGTCCGAGTTTGGTGATATGGAGGAACCGAGGATTTTACGGTCAGTGATTGATTGTTTCCACTGCAATTAATTATTAATTGACTTGTTTGTAAGGTGACACAAGTAAGTGATAAACAGAGAAATAAACTTGATACTATATCAGCTTAAAGACTGCAAGAGATTTGACGATTGAAAATGTTTCTCAAGATAGTACAAAAAGTGTATAGTCTTCTTTTTAGAGTATCGAGACTTATATTGTATTACAAAAAATAGGGATCCCCCATTCCAAATCTCCCCTCCCAGGGGTTATTAAACATATAGGAAATGACGTTTGGCTAGGGGTCACCGTAGATCGATCCCCTTTATTGTTATCATTTGCCCGTGGGCGCTTTCTTCGGTTTCTAGAAAGAAATATATATTAGGGAAAGGTATTCTCTGCATCCTTCTATTGTTTCTTTCCTTGATGATAAGGTCATGAAGCTTGAATAGATCCTGGGGAAGATATACCTAGTCTCCCATATACACTCAAACTACCTATTAACCACATACTAGATACTTATATTGACTAATTCCAGCAGAGCCCCTGTAATGAGTGGAGTGAAGATGTTACATTGCATTCACAACCCCACTTTCCTTACTTACACCACCTTCATACCACTTAGCAATCCCGTGCAAGCTTCAATATCAGTAGAACTGTCCAAATACTGTAGTACTCAAACTCAAGTCGAGTATTCGCTTCAAAGCCCCAACAAAATGGCTACCCCCAATCCCCTAGAAAATACCCCTCCCTCCCCATCCGTATCCGAAAAAACCTTCCACGTCGCCGGTATTCTCACGACCGTCTATGGTCTCGAAGAAATATCCCCATCATGTACATCAATATCATGTCTATGGCTCCTACATCCCAGACTTCAAACCAAGAAGATTATGGAGCCAATAGCTGCAAGATGTATACAAGCATGGAATCAACAATCGGGTTCTAGTCGAACGGTTGGTTTAATTGCTGTTGCTTTTGATCAGAGAAATCATGGAAGTAGGGAAGTTAATGCTTTGGCAAATGGATCGTGGAGGGATGGTAATGAAACTCATGCCCAAGATATGTTCAGGTTAGAAACCATGAACTCCTTTATAGAATGAATCTAGCTCATAGTTTATAGCATTTTTCATGGGACGGCAATGGATACAAGCCTTCTGATAGACCATTTGCCTTCTTATATCTTCAACACCAAAGACTCGCCTCTCATTGAGCAACATCTTGTCTTGGGTATCTCCCTCGGCGGTCACTCAGCATGGCAGGTACTATTTTCTGATCCTCGAGTTACCGCCGGTATTGTGATTATTGGATGCCCTGATTACCTCCGTAAGTCCCCATGAGTTTTAAAATCCGAAAAGGGCGAATCACATGTTATGAGAGCGAACATATGATTGTATACGATTGGTTTGAACGTACTCTTAGCCATAGATTCATCATCTAAGATCAAACTGAGCAAAGTTGCCCAATCATACACTAGGGTTTGCAATCTTCAACAAACACAAACTAACGACCCCAGGCATGATGACCGACCGAGCTCGCCTCTCCAAACTGCAAACCTACACCTCCACCACAACCCCAGGCTCCACCTTCCAAGGAAGCAAAGACTTCCCTCCCGCCCTCATAAACAGCCTCAAAAAATACGATCCCGTCGGTCTTCTCTTCGGCACCACTCCTATCCCAACCACCTCTACTTCCACCTCCACTTCCACCCCCTCCGCTTCCAACCACTCCAAACAAATCCTCCCCCACCACCTCCAAAACAAACGAATCCTCACCTGCTCTGGCGCCGACGACAAACTAGTCCCTTACCACTGTTCCGAACCATTCCTCCAATTTTTAAAAAATGCCACTGCAGTCGGTGGATACTATGAAGAAGGGAATGTATATGTAGAAGATAAGGTGTATGCGGGAGTAGGACATGCATTTAGCGAGGAGATGTTTAGAGATACAGTGAGATTTGTGAATGATACTTTAAAGGCTAAAGAGGGAGAATTAGTCAATTTGTCGAAGATATAGGGGAGTTGATTCGGTGTAGTCTGAAACCAATCTAACAATCTTATTACATTCCTACTTAAGCAAAACCGGCGCCTCCTGCGGCGGATACTGCACCCACAACCTAACATCACTCTCAACCCACTCATCCGGAACCCCCCTCATACAACCCTCCACAATACCCCTATTAACCCTCTCATTATACCCCTCACCTAGCCCCATGCCCCCAGGCTTTCCCGTAAAAGCAACCACATCATTCTCTACCCTTACCTCTCTCAATTTCCTCTTCAAACCCCAGCCCATCCCAAACGCAAACGTGGGTCCATAACCCTTTTCACATTCTAACCTCATGACATCCACCCTCGCCATACCAAATTGCGCATCTCCCTCGTTTTTATCCATACTCAGGAGTTTATAGAGTGTATTCTCGTGGACTTCCCATAGGATTCCGTAGATGACTTTTCCACGGGTGTTGTATTCTGATTCTGACTCGGATTCGGGTTCTGAATTTACATGTGTGGAGAGTGGTAGTATGTTTTGATAACAACATACATCTTCCACATCTGCATCTACACAAAACATCCAATTATCTAATCGGCCTATTCCTAGGAGTTTCGCATCGGGACATACATTCTGCATGTAATACTCGCACATTTCTGCGCCAATGGCGAAGAATTTGATGGGTGGACTAGGATCCGGTGTAGCTTCATAATTGGAATCCTGCATATCTTTTTTTATGCGTTCTTCTGCTACAGTCATGATGCGTTCGCGGGAATTGGTTATGGGATTTCCTTCTTCGTCGAGGAGGTGGAATTCTTCGGATTCGGTGGTGGAACCTGCGTCATCCTCTTCCTCTTCCTCTTCTTCTTCTTCTTCTTCTTCGGTAGGAGCTATGTCGACTACTTCTTGCATTTCCTCAATATTCATCTCTACCTCAATCACCTCACCCTCATTCTCATCTTCCTCCCCATTATCGTCCTGGGAACCATCATCTCCATCTCCATCTCCACTTTCAACCTCATTCTCAGAATCCCCATCCCCATCCTCATCCTCATCAATATCCCCATCCCTACTCCCATCACCCTCATCTCCATCCGGAAGTACTATGCGATGATACCCAGAATTTCTGCGCCCACCATTCCCATTCCCATCCCCATATCCAATAAATCCAATAAATCCATCCATAAAACCAGGTTCGTCGTCAGGAGACGGAGAAAGTGTAGGGGATTCTGACACGGCAGAAGTGGAGTCAAAGACATAAGGTTGAAGAGAAACAGAACGCGAAAGAGATAGTGGAGGGGATATGCTTTCTTCTTTTATACTAGGCATTGTGCTGGTGGATATTGGGAGATGTTTGTTGATGATTTGTGGGTTTGCTTTAGGCAATTGATTGTTTGGGAGAAGGTTTGTGTGGTTTGTGAATGGGTGTTTGGTGGTTTGAGGAAGGTTGAAGAGGTGGTGGAATTGGAAGGTTATAGTAGGAGATGGAGTCTCGAACTTAAGATCAAGATACAGATCAAAATGGTGATTCAGCAGGGAGATCTGGTACGGTTCTTTGAAAGTACTTAGTACGCTTAATCTCCTCCTCTTAAGGTGAGAACTGAAAGTGAAAGTGAATCTCGTCCAGCTGTAGTATTATACTCGGAACAGTTACATAGACAAAATAATCAGCTGATATAAGTTGAGACGAGACAAGGTGACTAACAGACAGAAGGAAATCACATAGGATGGTTATAGAGAGAAGATAGATTTAGTAAATCTTCAACCAATGTGTCGAGAGTGATATCAATACCGACTTTCAATTCAGTCCAGAGTGTAGTATTCAACACCCCAAACACCTAACCACTAAAGCAAAAGGGAAAGAGCGAGAGTCAGCTGGCCAGCCAGCCAGCATTATTTCCCCGATCCTGTTATCATCTAATTACCTAGTATTCCAAGCAAGAGCATACCACATACAACCCAAAAGAGAAAGAAGCAGACATCTACACCCTCCCAACCACACCCCCCCATCTACCCATCTACCCATCTACCCATCTACCCATCTACCCATCTACCCATCTACCCATCTATCCATCTACCCATCTACCCATCTACCTACCTACCTACCTACCTACCTACCTATCCAATACCTACCAACCTTAATCCCCACAATCAAATCAACACAATAGCCAAGTCTAGTCTATTCTATTCTACATACTACCTAGTATTTCAATAATAACCATTGACAGTTTAGTTTAATTTACTTTAGTTTAACTAGTTTACTCCTTTTTAAACTCCCATTTCCCATTCCCAGTAGATAGAGGAGAAAAGGAAAAAGATGAGAATACTATGTAGGTACTCACTTGAGTTTGGGGACTTAGGTAGACTTCAGTTCTTACATCTAGGTACTTCTTTATCCCCTATAGGTACTCACTCGACTTATACATCACATCCTATCATCACACATCATCATACACATCAACTCTGAAAAATACTATTTATTATTCATATCCATATCTCTCCTCAGCTCCCCTCAATCTCTCCCCAATTTCTCACATCACCCTGATATTTTACACCCCTTTACAAATCCAATCGCTACCCTCAAACTCCATTCATTCTGTACATATACAATGTTGCCTACTCCCACAAACCAAAGGCAATATAAGTCATGCGATCATAAGGAAAACCCCAAACAGATTTCAGATTTGATCCGACTTCCCAAACTCGCTTCGTAAAATATGGAAAAATTTAAAAACAACGCGCGTATGCATACAAACTGTATGTACCATTTCCTTCTATCCTCCTCTGGCCACCTGAACATAACAGATCCTGGGGTATCTTATCCTATCCTTTCATAGCATATCCAATGCATTCATGTCGAATACCACTTTCCCCTTCCCCTCCCTTTATTCTACCTCCTTAGCACTTCTCGATTTCTTTAAACACCTCTAAACATCCTCACAATCAAAAACCACATCGCGCCAATAAACTTAAAGCAACTCAATCCTGCTACACTCCAAAGCACAACCGCCATGTAGATTGTACTCTTTGTTGTATCATCCGTACTAGTATCAATATTTTCCAGTCCAGCTGTACTCAATACCGCACTAGTGAGTGCAAAATTACAGACCAACCAGAACAAGACGACCGAAGATCTGAACCATTTGTAATAATCTTCTTGCTTTTCTTCTGCTGAGAATTCACGTTTCTCCGGAGGTGCTTTTGATTGGATTTTGCGCATCTCGGATTCATACTGAGCGTTGAGATCACCATCGTCGGTGGGAATATTGACATCGACTTTACCACCAGCTTTAAGAACAGCGGAAGGCAGTTTTTCGGCTTTATCATCTCCTTTGGTACCCCAAGTAATATCGTGTGTATTACAGAAAGCGTAAACATTGAGAATGTTGATGTACGTTGGTGTAAGAAGGAGGTATTGAATAAAAGATGTGAACATATGCCACGGGTCGAAGAATAGGAAGGAAGAAATGAACCAGAGTAAATAGGTTGAGGCGAGAGAGATGATTAGAGTATAGAAGATTTGATTCTTGATGATATCTGTCCAGTTGAATTCGTTTCTCGCAAGCTGAGTTTGTATCGACTTGACCGTGATGAAAATTGAAGCGAACATTAGGTATCTATTTCAGTTAGTGAGAGAAATCAAATCAAATCAAGAATTACTCACATCATGATAATAATCCAGAAATAGACCATAGACATGTAAACTTTGTTCGTTCCTTGAGGCCGATTACCCAACGCCAGAATAAAACAGGTCAAAAGCGTGAATAAATAAAGCCATTCGAAGACAACACCAAGAATCACACCGACATTTCCGAGTAAGTCAGAGTTTCCGAGAGAAGTAGTCAGGATATGAAAGACCAAGAAGAAGTTACCAAGAGCGAACCAAGCAAAGATCATGTTGATAGTTTGATATGTGAATTCAATCAAGAACATGATTTTCCGTAAGAAGCTGTGATCACTTCGGAAAATTTGATAGAAATGAGCAAGAGCATAGATAGCAGCGAAGAAACTTCCGTTAAGCCATCTTCGACGTTGCAAAATAAGTTCGGCCATCGTATCCGGTACATCAGTTTCTCCAGTAGCAGACTTGACGTACTGCAAGATCCAGTGACAGTTCCTCTTCGATACCAATTCGAAACACAGAATACGATCCTCAGCAAGGTACATATTGGCAGTGAAAATACCAGCGTTTGCTCCATGCATCTTCTCTCCTGCAAAGTACTTCTCCAGCGGTCCATTACCAGTTTTGTCGTTTTGCAATGCAACATAACGATATGCAGAGAAAGCACCCGGCAACACTGAAATGAATCCGAATGCCGATTCAAGAGGTTTATCAAGAATGTTACTCATTTTGTACTCAAAATTCTGGGTAGCAACCAGAGGGTTGAGCAGATTCTTTCCTCCTGGGCCCAACATAGCTTTGATTTCACCACAAGCTCCTGCACAAGTAGGCTCCAAATCGAAAGCTTTCCAGAGATGATAAATCGAGTCCTTTCCTGGCTTCGTACCAGCATCAATGAGTACACAAATATTGGGATCGAGTACCCGACCAAAGGCTTGGAAAAACCATCTATGCGAATTGATCTTTTTCTGATTTTTTTCCTTCAAACAGAAAAGTAGTTGAATAGGCTGCTGTTTCGGTGTGAGTGTAACGATATCCTTCTTCAGAGCAATGCCAACTTGCGTCGTATATTCGTAGATATGTGCTGTCACGTCCTTGCCATTAACTTGTTGCTTCGCAATTCCATCTTGGTACACTCCCAAACCAGCCAACACAGCTCTGGTTCTCGGATTGATCTTAGCACGTCCATCACTGACAACGCACACTACGATCTTCTTCCAAGCATCCTTTCCCCATGTTTTACTATCCTTGCGAGTGCACATATATTCAACGTTCTTGAATACTCCATGCATCGTTCGGGCGAACAATACATCATCTTCATTATACATAGTCACAACAATGAAGAGTTCTGTATGTCGAGGCTTTGCAAAGAGTTTTTGTCGCAATGTAAAACGCTCCTCAAAAAACTCGCTGGGATCGCATGTTGCCGCTGAGTATCTCATATGTGTAAATTCATCTCTCTCGGGAGGCGGTGCATGATTGACTTGACTTAAAAGCTTAGGGGGAATTGGACAATCAAGTACGAGATTTCCATTGAACAACTGGACTTCCTTTACTGTCTTGTATCTTCTTAAAGCAGGTATAGGTGTCGAAGATGGAGAGTGTCCAGCTCCGTCGTAACCTTTATACTCTGCACCACTGGCTGTGTGTGGATCTGGCCCATATGGTTCATGCGACTGTAGAATTGGTTGATGGTCATCATCGTCATTGTAACCGTAGGGGTCTTGCCCTTGAGGATAATTTTGTAAAGGATGTTCTTCATGAGGAGATGGTTGGTATGGAGGTTGGTAGTAAGCATCTTGATGTGCGTTAGGATCTAAAGAGTATCCCGAGTCGTAACTTTGACTGAGATTTAGGGGCATGCGCTGATGGTATTGACTTTGATCTATATGCTCGACGGAATACTGTAGAATTCATGTCAGATAAAGCTTCATCTCTTCGCAGGCACATCGACCTAAAAACTCACAGATGGCTGAGGCTGTAATTGATCACTTGGTGTTCCAACTCTGTGTCCTCCAGGGCCCATAGGTATCTCCAGATTGGGAATACCAGGACCGGGTGAACCAATAGGTTGTCTTCCATATGGCGCATCTTCCAGTTGGTATCCTTGAGGACGCGGCGAGTTGTGTCTATTGTTCATGTCGTAATAATCGTCTTGGCCTTGGCCCGCCGGATCTGTGTGGGTCGAATATTAGAAACGTTTGCTGTAGATAAACAAAAGTGTAGATATTGCAGATGATTTGTTGATAGGAGGAAAACGTGCTTCTGTCCTAGCAGAGGGGAAACTGAGTGTATCAAGTAATTCTGCGACCCATCAAGAAATCCTCTTTGCGCGGTATAGTTTACTTGGTTGCGCCTTTCGTGTTGGTTGCTATGCGCCGCAGAATGGATACACTGGTCGACGTGAATGGTCTTCAAGACAATGTGTGATTTGATTCAAACTTTACATTCACTTCACTGCCATCACAATGCGAAACGCGGACAAAGTGTGCTAGGAAGGTGGAGAAGAGATTTGGTAAATTAGATAGGAGGACATACCTAATCGATTATACGACATGGTACCGTTGTATGAGATTACCGTCCTATTGTGATCTGTGGGGTGAAGGGATGCGTAGGAGCGAGATGAATTTCCTTGCGAAGGGGCTCAGTTTGGGAATATCTTTCGATCCAAGCCTTCTTCCGTACTAGATTGTAAGGTTGACTACAAGGTTGTATGTTGATGTGTCGGGTTAGAGTCAATAATTCCCACGCCTATCCCTCTTTCCTCCCGGCCTGAAAACTGGGATATGGTAGACACTGAGGCAGGAGTCGAGAAAAGGATGACAATTATTTTGTTAGAACTTAAAGTCTTAAGGTGGTTGAAGTTGGGTGAGATGGAAAAGTCTCTTGTGACAAGTGGTTTCACCTTGAGGAGGGCCGCGCATTAAAAGGATGTTAGAAATTCGGTAGGGATTGTAAACAAAGTGGATGCAAAAAATGGTTGCCAAGGCAAAAGTAATCCCTGGAGATGCTACTATTTAGTATTTATTACAGAGGACCGGTATCTTTTTGTACTGGAGTATCTTGTCTTGTGTACTTTATTATTAGTGATTAACCTAGTACCTAGGTACCTACTGTGGTACTTGGAGTGATTGTTTTCCGCGTTTCGAATTCAACAGATAGCGGATTAAGTTTCGAGTTTGGATAGCACGGAGCAGTTTTCCCCCAAGAAATGACGGTGACGCCTGGTAATACCTTGTAAGTGGTAGTAAGTTGGCTTGTGAGTGCTGATAAAATAAAGATCGACAATCATCAAAATCTAAAAGTACCCAAACTTCATAGCAATGTTCATTTAATATATTGTTTATAGAGAGTATTCTTGAGGAGGTAGGTACAGAGGATCTCAAACAATCAAATATAACTACTACTCGAGTACATGTTATGAATAAACTTCTAACTTTCCACTAAACGGCGGAATCTATACTATGTTTGAAAGTCTAATTCCTAGCGGCTCATTGGAAGGATTCTTGTATCACCAACTAAAAAACACTCACACGTCTCAAAAATAGAAACCTCACTAAAAACATACTAGGTTACCCACTCGCTCACTGCTGCAAGACAAACCGCAGCAAGACTTCAATCCTCCCTCTAACCAATCAACATCATCTTATTTTCACACATACTCCGCACACAGCATAGCGCTCGAACAATAAACACACAGATGCGGCTGTGCAAAGTGCAAGATGTACCACCGCCGGCACTCAAAAGATATGAGAGTCCCTTCGACCGCATACCGTACTTCTTCCTTGAGAACCCCAAATGGAGGCTGAGTTTATACATGCATAAGTACGATTCAATGACATAGAACTTACCGGTTTCCCACCTGATATGCATGCTCTATTCCGAAAGAATGTCGTCTTGAGAATATATTACAAGTTGAATCAATCACGAGTTCAACGATGGTCAATCTCAAGTCTTATATATCGTGGCTGAGATGCTGAAGATTCGTGTTCATACACGAAACATACCTACCTGTGAAAGAGTGATTACAGGCTAAGTATCGGTGAGGTGTGAGTTTAATCAGATATGGATAATGGAACAGCGGGGAGTCTGAGATATTGTGGTGACTCTAGGACTTCTAAGTAGTTAATTGAGTTTGCCTATACCAGATCAAACGGAAACAGTCATTTAACCTATTGAGAAGTTTACATCTTATTAAACCTACATAGAGTTGATAATACTAGGTAACACTCGAGTAGATGAGAACTATCAAAATGATATGCCTGGTAGAGAAAGCCGGTGTAACAATACTAAATCTTTAGCCTCGGAAACCTTCGTACTCTTCGTTCAGCTGGCGAATGTTGGCAGTGCATCTTTATATAAACCTTATTACATATTTGTTTGCCATTTTTGCTACTACTACTCTATTGTACAGTATACTCCATAAAAATCCAGCGGGGCATTTCATGGTGGGGTTCATGCCAGCGTTTATATCAACCAACCTTTATGTGCATGCCATGCCAATAATATCATGTCAAGTCCGACTGTTGAACGAATCCCATACTCGTTCTTGATATCCATTTTAGGACTTTTTATTATTCGAGAAAATTTCTAGTGTAATATATATGGATCCCCATGTTCACAGAAATACTATACTCTCGTATTCTTACCGACATTTCGATCTTGACTTGCAATTGAGAAACATTAACCTGGTTACGGAGTATGTTAACAATATAAACGTTTCTCATGCATGTCATTATGATCAAGCTTCACAAAACATACATTTTGATCACCACTAATAGATGATAGGATTCTAGGAATGATCTAACTCATGGGTATTCATCTAATCGTGACCTCTATCTTTCTAACCATCTATATCTATCTTGATAACATCAAACATCAAACATCTCTACTTCTCAACATCGGGAAAAGTAGCCTTTAAGAAATTCTTAGAAAACCTCGTACACTGTTCATAAGCAGCCTTGAACCCGTCATTCCCACCGTAATATGGATCATCAACCTCCTCGGGCTTAGAACCTCCAGCATATTCTCCAAACAACATAACTTTTGCTTTACCCTCAGTTCTCCTCCCTAAGGATAAGAGATCTTCAAGGTTTTCACTATCCATAGCAAAGATATAATCAAAGTTCTTGAAATCACTGATAGAAACCTAGAAGACAAATGAATAATGGAGCTTCAACAAGCTACAGGAAGTATCAAAGTACCTTTCGAGCCTTATGCTTATAGTCACTAATCCCATTCTCTCTAAGAGTGGCCATAGTACGGGAATCTGGGGAAGATCCAGTGTGATAGGCTGCAGTCCCTACATCGATAAATTAGTATCAAAATATATGAAGGGAATTTCAACCGTGATGAAGATATATTTAACATACCACAAGAGTCGACATTGAATATCAAGGATGCGTAAGGACCCTTGGAAGTCATGGAACTGAAGATTCCCTCGGCCATCGTCGAACGACAGATGTTCCCGAGGCAGACAAACAAAACCGATATCTTTTCCGATGACATTTTTCGTAGTTTATCGGATTTTTGGTAGTAAACCTTACTTTTACTTGTTCCTGACTTGTGTTGGGTAAGATATCTTGAATAAGCTTGAAGAAGAAAGATTCTGATTTTGGTGATGATCTGCAGCTCCGACGGGTTGGAACTTGGAAGTCGGAAGCCGATACGGATTTTCCTATCCCGACATCTTTTGTTCAACTCGATTGTCACGCCTTCATTTGAATAATTCCATCAACAACCCATTCTATTCTCCAATCATCAATGAGATGTAAAGGAAACTTAGAATTTTTCTTGGCAGATCAGATCGTTCATTTACTGGATACGTTCTTTGCACATCTTCTTTTTCATTTCCGCGTAGAATGTCAATCAGTGGTATCCATCAATCAAATGCATTCATTTTGATGGCCAAGGCTGATAAATAAAGTGTCCAATGACAACAGTGGGATACATGCATAGATTCAAGGAATAAGCATCGCTCGCCGTCGGGACAAGGCGGGAGATATCCGAATCAGGATGGTGATAAGTCGCACAACTTGACATCGGTTGAACTTTGAGTATGGTGAATACAAACATATGCAGAGCCTAGACAGTTGCCGAATGCGAGCCAAGTCAATTTTCAATCGAACAAGTAATGGGATATGGTTCCAAGTCAGGAACCATAATACAGCTTCGCATTTCAATAATTTTCGATGTGTGTTTGGCGAGGTAGGATAACGAAACAATGAGAGAATGATAAGATGCAGTTTTCAATATTAGAGTTGGCGAGGATGGGATTCAAGGAATTTTACTTCCCGGCTTCCCAGAAGCTTAATTGAATCTTTGATAGTAGCAGGTAGCACGGTTTGACCAAGATATTTCGGCTGATAGCACCTGCCTCTTTCGTAACATATCCTTTATACCATCATCTTGGCTTACATTAGGTGAATGAGATAACAATCAATTAATCATACCCCTCTTCTGTTGAGCCGAATGGGAAGGGAATCAGTACAGTGCGGTTGACTACAAAAGCCAACATATTCCCATGGTCTTGCATTCTCCAAGTTTCACTTCAACACCTTTGATCTCCCAGGTGTCCCCTTATTGATACGTCTTCATAGATCCTTCAAGGACTCAAACTTGTGAGTGATCACTATCATCATACCATCAGACTCTCCAACATAGCTAACGAATCGACCTTGGAAGATCAAGATGAAGTTCTCTCGTGTGCTTTCTGGCTTGGCTATATGTAGCTTAGCAGCATGTGAGTCTTCTATGGAGCTATTGGAATCTCTTCGTGAAATCCCACAAGGTTGGATTCAACTCGAAAGACCTAGTCCGCTCAAGACAATCAAACTTCGAATTGCCTTAGAACAACCAGATCATGAGCTTTTCGAGCAGAAACTTTATGCTGTTTCATCTCCTGATCACGTTGAATATGGCCAACATCTTGACCGTGAGGAACTCAAGAGATTCATCAAGCCAGCTGATGAAACTACTCATGCCGTTCTTTCATGGCTAGAGAAGTCTGGTATCTCGGAATCAAATATTCACAACGATGGTGAATGGATCAATTTCCGAACTTCAATTTCACAAGCGGAAGAAATGTTGAATACTACCTTCCATTACTACGTTCATCAAGATATGAGGAACAATAAGCAAATTCGGACGTTGAAATACTCGGTTCCACAGGAGATCTCCAGTCACATTACAATGATTCAACCTACAACCAGATTTGGCCAAATTAAAGCACAAAGAAGCCAAATGTTTCGTGAGGATTTTTCAGCCCTTGCTTTACCATCACTCAATACTACTGCCTGCAATGTTACAATTACTCCTCAATGCCTCCGAGATCTTTACAACATCGGTAATTATACAGCAAAGGCCAACCCCGAGTCACGTCTAGGTGTTGCTGGATACTTGAGTCAATGGGCAAAATATGATGGTCTAGAGGCTTTCTTGGAGAAATATGCTCCATATGCTATTGGCCAGAACTTCTCTTATGCTCTCATTAATGGAGGATTGGATACACAAAACTCAACACTCGATGATGGAGAAGCGAATTTGGATATGCAGTATGCTGCTTCCATAGGCTTCAAAACTAATATCACCTATTACAGTACAGGTGGAAGAGGGCAGTTAATTCCGGATCTTGATCAGCCAACATTAGACAATAACCAAAATGAGCCATACTTGGATTACCTCAACTATATGTTAGGTCTACCAAATAATCAACTGCCACAAACAATCACAACCTCATATGGCGAAGACGAACAATCTGTCCCAGAAGCTTATTCCAAAACTGTCTGTAAAATGTTCGGTCAGTTAGGTTTAAGAGGTGTATCTATCCTGTTTTCTTCTGGTGATACCGGTGTAGGCTCTGCCTGCCAAACGAACGATGGAAAGAACACAACACGTTTCTTGCCAATTTTCCCAGCAGCTTGTCCTTATGTTACTTCAGTAGGAGGAACACGATATGTCGAACCAGAAGCCGCAGTTTCTTTCTCATCAGGTGGATTTAGTGATAGATGGCCAAGGCCTTCATATCAAGATGATGCTATTAAGGGATATTTGAAAATTTTGGGGGATAGGTGGAAGGGTCTTTATAACCGACACGGTAGAGGATTTCCCGATGTTGCAGCTCAGGGTGTTAGATTTCATGTTGTGTTAGTATTTTCCGAATCTTTTGACATGTTAGTTGCAGGTACTAACAAAAGATCTCAGGGATGTCAACTCCATCACCGGCGTCGCAGAAGATCAACTACTTTCTGGCACCAGGTAACTATCCCCCATTTCTTTCTTCTTTACTCTTCCAGCCCGATTCGATCCCCTTCCCACACAAAACTAACCTCAATTTAGTGCCTCCTCCCCAGCTTTCGCAGCAGTCATCTCCCTCCTCAACAATGCCCGTCTAAACGCCGGTCGTAAACCCCTCGGTTTCCTCAACCCTTGGCTCTACTCCATCGGTAAACAAGGACTCAATGATATCGTAAACGGTGGTAGCACGGGTTGCACAGGTAAGGATATTTACTCTGGTTTACCGGCGCCGTTTGTCCCATATGCTAGTTGGAATGCTACGAAAGGATGGGATCCAGTTACTGGGTTAGGAACCCCGGATTTTGCGAAATTGTTGAAGTTGGTTGAGGGGTATTAGGGGGAGGGAATGGTATTGTTGATGTGTTGGAGAGGAGAGGATGGATAGGTTAGGATAGGATAGGATAGGATAGTAAGATTGACGACATAATTGAAAAAGGGGATGTGAAAGCGAAAGAGCTAGCCTACGTATTAATAATGATTATAATATCACACCTGATATGTTAATAGAACATAGTCTGTATCGTAGCCTTGAATCAAATGATACAATATTGAGATGATTCTTTATAATTAATATAATATAAAGCTTTATATTAATATTAACATTAATATCATCCTTACAAAATCTTAATATTATATTACATCACATTACAATTATAATCACAACTCCAAATAACCTCTAGCTACCTAACTACCAAATCATTTCACTAAATCTTAATTGTAAAAAATTAAATTAAAATCATTTAACCTTACCAATCCTTATTTATTTATTTTATTTTTTTTCTTCCGTGGAAAATTCCCCTCAGAATCTCAGATGTAAGACTATATACAACAAAAGTTTTTGAATTCCTTTCCTTGGTTCTTGATAAGGTTGATTTAATAATCTTGGGTTTTGGTTGGGTGTGATATTTATTTCATTATATCATGGGAAAGTTTTTGGGAGTTGTTTTTTTGAAGGGGATGAGGTAGTTGGGTAGATGTGGGGTAACCGAACGGAATTGATTGAACTATCGCTATGGCGTTTCTAATGTACCCAAATTTGTGATATGATATAATAAAATCCTCATTTTCATACATTCGTGTAAAAACTAAATATCCTATCTCCTCCTCCTCCTTGTATCCAATATATTCTCCACACTCTTTCAACTCCCCATTCCAAAAATGTCCACCACTTCTCCCCCCTCCCAAACACCACACACACCCCTCAAACCCCCAACTCCCGCCCCCATCCCCACCCACCTCATCCTCCTAACCTGCCACTCAATCTACACTTCCGGGCCCCCTACCTCCCCCACCTCCTGGCTCCTCGCCCCCTTCCAAAAAGGCGGAACCGAACACCTCACATTCATTTCCCACATTACTCTCGCTTCTTCCCTCCTCTCATCAGATCCTAATGCTCTCCTTGTAATCTCTGGTGGTTATACTAGGAAAGAAGTGCGGAAGAGTGAGGCGAGGGGGTATTTTGAGGTGGGGGTGGAGAGGGGGCTTTGGAGTGAGGAGGGGATGGATAATGGAAGAATTATTTTGGAGGAAGGGGCTTTAGATAGTTTTGGGAATTTGTTGAGGGGGTTACTTGCTTTTTGGAGGGGGGCGGGGAGGTGGCCTGGGAAGGTGACGGTGGTTAGTCATGGGTTTAAGGGGGAGAGGTTTTTGAGGTTGCATTGTAGGGCTTTGAGGGTTGGTTTGGGGAGGGGTGGGGATGAGGAGGGTGAGGAGGGTGAGGGGGATGAGGTGAATGAGGGGAAAGAAGTTGGGAAGGGAAGAGGTGTAGAAGTTGTATTTTTAGGTCGGAATCCTTCATTTATGGATCCGGAAAGTGCAGAGTTTGATGAGGAGAAATGCGAGGATACGATAGGAGGAGAGAGGGAAAAGGGATATGGAGAGTGGAGAGAAGACTTGTGGGGGACGGGGAAGAGATTGAGGGGGAAGAGGGATGCGAGGGATGCTTGGGGTGGTGGGATGGAGAATGGGGTTGATGATAAGATGGGGAAAGAAAGACCTTTGTTTGAGAGTGAGGAGGAGAGGGTTAAGAGTGGACTTAGGACTAGATGGTTGGAGGGGGAGGATGGGTTGGTAAGGGAAGAGGTTATTTTGGAGGGGGTGGATATGCCTTGGGAGGGTGAGAGGTAGATTGAATTGGAAAACGGGATTGGAAAGAGTTTTAGGGGCTAGGAAATTTTTGGATTTAAATTAAATAATGAGTATGTTTTTCGAGGTGAAAAGGTTATAGAATTCCTTAAGACGTACTGGTGAGGGGTACGGAGGGTCTGAGGAATCTACGGGAGTGGAGCGTAGGAGATGACCGAAGGAGGTCGGGGTTATAAAAACAGAATAGGAATGACATCTAAAAACCCCTGATGTGAAATTTTCACTACACAATCACATTTTCCAAAATATAAGGTTATTCCCTCAAAACTTTTATATGTAAGATCTTACAGTAAAAATTCACTCGACTTAACAACTAGCATACCAATACCAACAGGAGGCGCAGGTAGCAGGGGGGAAGGAGATAGAGCAGCATGGTTTTATTACAAGATCTTACATCCAAAAATTAATCATAATCATAACTACATCCCAAGGAAATAAAATTATTTTCCTAGGCTCTGAGATATAAGTGGTGAAGTTTAATATGAAAGTAAAGGATTCAAATAATTAAACAAATAAGGGAGGGATGTAAGAGAGATAGTCAGCTGGGAGAAGAGTAGAGTAGAGTGAAAGAAACTTTTGTTTTTGTAGTGGGGATGTAGGGAATGTATATGAGTATCTAGGTAGTGTGTTTAAGTCTATAAGATGGAAAGTTAAGAGAGGTGTGGATGTGGATGTGGATTTGTTGGATATAAGGGATTGTTTGGGAGATAGGATGATATGTTTTTGGGAGGGAAAAAAGGGACGTTTTTGAGGGGGGGATGAAATTGGGGGTGGATGTTGTGAGGATTTTTTTGGTTAAAATCGAGATGGGGAAATGGCGAGATGAGATTTGGTGTGGTGTGGTTGGTATAGTGTGGTTGGTATAGTGTGGTTGGTATAGTGAGGATTAGGATTGGTGTAACGAATGAATAGATGGAAGGAAGGAAGTAAAGAGAGAGAATATAGAAAAAGAAGATAGGAGGGGTAGGTAGGGAGGCAATGAGGAAGAGAAAAGGACTCAGGAAGAGAATTACAATCAACATTATCAGTATTATAGAAATTAGTATTAAACACTCCAGTAAATATCCAAATGCCATACAACCCACTACAATGGGCAATATAAGAATGACGCCGTGTATTACTCCCATCACCGCAACTATATCATCTTATAACTCCAAATCTTCATCGACCTATCTCCACTAGCACTGGCGAAGCAACCCCCCCTGGGCTCGCCGCAACACTGATAATGGAATTCTTGTGACCTTGTAATATGAGCTGCGACTTCGCCCGTTTCTACATTCCAGAACTGGATTTCCTTGTCCTTGGAGCCGGAGAGAATCCATTTCCCATCGGGTATGAAAGTGGCACAAAGCGGAAGTGTTCTTAGTATGTTCGCTTTCTCGAGGAGTAAGCTCCCACATCTTGAACATTTTATCTAAACTAGCGGATACGAGATATTTACCGTTGGATGCAAAAGTAATAGAATATAAATTATCATTATGACCCTTAAAAAGTTCGACCAAGTCTCCTGTAGCAGCATCCCAAATACGAATACAGTTATCAAGACCACCAGCAGCAACGTACTTGGCATATGGAGAAATAGCAACAGATGCAATGGCATCCTCAATTTGCAATACCAAAGTCTGACAGTTCTATCATCACAGCCAGAAGCAATGGTACGACCATCACAAGCAATGTCGAGCGAATAAATGTATTGGTCATGACCAGCGAGGGTACTTTTAATACTTCTAGAAGCAGTATCCCAAATCTATAACCGTCAGTAATGACATCAAGACGTCGATATTATTACTCACTCTAATCAACTTATCTTCCATGGCAGTAGCAAGATATCTTCCATCGGGGCTAAAGCAAACACTTCTAACATAATTACTATCAACTACAGGATTATCATCATGCAATCGGAAATTACAAATTTCCTGTCTAGTAGTAACATCGAAAGCCTGTGCAACTCCTTTGCTACCAGTAGCAACATATTTTCCGTCATGGCTGAACCTGACACTGCAAACGATATCTTCGTGTAGAATATCGTGAAGGAGTTCAATATCAAGTACAGGAGAAATTTCTGGGTTAAAGTTGGCAGAGCAACCTGACTCAAGATTCTTTTGGTGTTCCTACAGACTTTTAAGCCAAAGACGGAGTCCCGTCTGATAATCAATGTTAATGGCGGCTTGAGGATTCTCCTTCTCGAAGACAGGTTCCTTCAATCGCATTGCCTTTTTCCATTGAAGAATCGGTCCAGGTTCGTCTGTAGTATGGTCTTGCATGGCAGGCAATGTAGTCGATGGGTGGGTTTGGGTGCGGGGTTTGTGTACGGTTGATCGTGGTGATGGGTGGGTTGGTTTTTATAAAATATGGGAAATGCCATGGGTTATTATTATCAAGCGGGGAGCACTTAAATGATTTCATGTTATTCATATTCAAAATAAAATAATAAATAATATGATCAAATTTTGGGCGTATAAGTCTAAGATCATGATCCGAGTCTGTGGTTAACCACTCAGCATTGAAGTCTCTACATTCCGAACTCTAACCCACAGGAGATCATTTTCCGAATAGGACTTAGATTGGTATCTTTCCGCACCTGAAGCTTTTGATATGATACGATAGATGCTCATGTTTGATTCCGTTCTTCGAGCGAAATAGAACCATTGACTCGACACAGATATCCCGGTTATGGGCGAGGAGGCTTGGAAATTTCGCTTAACCACCAATTCTGAGTTGATTATAGGTTTTAGACTGGTAAATCATGGAAATATATATGATAGGTATTCCCCCTTGATAGTTGATCCTGCCCTATAGAGGAAAGATCTTACCCTATTAATAAGGGAAAGATCGCTCAAAATAAAGAGCAAGGACATCGAAATCTGACAGCTTTTTGTTTTGCTTGATTTTTATGTAAGACTTACAAAACACATATAAAATGCAAACACCACCCACCACCTCTTTTCCATCTTTCCTGTCTAGTACTCAGAATTCGATGAAATTTGTGGCGCTTGAAGGTGCATGTACTATTATTAGATGTCAATATTTGAAGCTATTCACAAAAGTTTTACGGTTAATCGTGGGTAATTATAAAGTTTTAATTGTTGTATTTTCGATCAATTAATCGGCGGTTATTGGGTCTCGAATTTATGAACCCATTATTGACAGTTCGGGTCGGGTTTTCTAATAGGGGTACGGATAACTACCCATCAACTACACTGGCTTAGGATCATGCTAGTGTAAGAGATCAGAGCTATTAAGAAGGTACCCTGAAATACAATTATAACGGAGAGTTGGCTTAAGTTTGTTGGATCCATTTCGAGCTCAAGACGCCCTAAATCTGGAGAACATTAGCAGGTTCAAGCGAAATTCAATGCTTTTGTTCCATTTGCATTCAGGTGAATCAGTGCTGTATCTCTTTTCTTTCAGTTGCTTTTGGAATTCTAAGACTTGTCCAGGAACTGCTGGATATTTGGGCACTGGGACCAGGATAGTAAGTTCTCATAGAATCCCAAGTGAACATCATTGCTATTGGCCCTCAGGTTGTCATAAAGCTTTGTTAAAGGCTTTTTCAACTGACCGAGACAGTCCACTTGATGAACAAGTGCTCCTGTGTCTGCGGCAGAGTCACACATTTTCGAAAGACTATATCGAAGGGGGTGATCTATCCGAAATTCGTGGGCGTACCTGTATCCATGGTAGTCTTTTGATGATACGATTTTATATCTCGAAATCTTTTATTGGAGGTGATATGAGATACATACTAGACAATAAATACGAAACATACGAGAAAGCTATGTCAAAGTGAACGTGAGATTCCTCTGGGTAAGGTCCACTACCGGGCTGTAGAGTATATCTTTCATCCACACATCAATATTGCAAAAGATTGCCTTCACAGAATGGAAACACATACTCCTTTGCCGAGAATTGAATAATATCAATTGCACCCGATGGCCCTTCCTCAATCAATGGTTTGCAGTATTCTAAAATGTGAATGGATAACTTCGTAGTACAGTGATCGGGCACTGATAATTAGCCGAGGGTCTTTTTATACCAAAACTTAAACATTTTATTTATATATTTTAATAATAAAGGAAATTATATTATTGAACTTATTGTTACGAGGTTTGCCGTCTAGATCACGTGGAAGTGCTCTAGGCTCTCGAGGTGGTTTATAACTAGGCGTCAAGCAGGGACTTAAAGTAATGACAATAATGCAATTCGTAACTAATAGTAGAGTATACTAAATGATTGATCTTGAGCACGAAGCTCTATACAAAGGGAATCCATTTTGATTATATAGACTTTCATGCCTATCGTTCCTTCGGTCCCTTCGATCCCTTTACCGAAGGGATCGAAGGGATCGAAGGGATCACATGACTTCGTACGTGGTCATATGATACGAGGCCAGAAGCCGTCGTAACACTTATATTATTTTTATATTTAAATTTTAATGAAGTAATATAAATTTGAAAATTTGAAATTCTCAAAAAAATCAAACAAGGTATAATATAACTTTAAAAATAATATTCTTAATTTTCATTGATTTTATTATAAAAATAAAAGAAAAATTTAATTAATCAAAATATATGTAACGATACTATACTGGAGGCAGCGGCTGCCTAAGGTTCGTCGGTTGGTAGTTATGGGTTAAGGCTTTATCATTGGTATTCACTTGAAAGTGAATTCGTTACTAGATCAAGTAGAATGTAAGTAAACTAATTGATAACTAAATTGAGCACGAAGCTCCTAAACTATGAAACTACTCTGACTATATAATGATCGATAAAGGGAGCCCCCAGGAGCTTTGAGGGCTCCTAGGGCTCCTTATCACGTGATTTCTGATGGTGCGTGCGCATACGATCTTCAGGTGACCAAGATCACATACTAATTCGATGAAATCTGATCGTGTTTGCACAAGGCCTAAGCTCTCCTAATTAATCAGTTTGCTACCATCGTAACACCATCAATGCTAATGGTGAATCGTGACAATATAATCTAATATCTAAATAGAAAAAATTCCAAAAAATAAATTAGAAATTTTTCGATATTATTCGATATCGATATATTTGAAAGTTTTAGTTTTCAAAAAATACTTTCAATAATTCAAACTATTAAAATTTATTGAAATAGTTGAGTTTTGGTGTAAAATGACCCTTGGCTAATTAATAGTGCTCTAGTACTGTATCGTCAACGACAGTACTTCCCGGGTAGAAGACCAATCCATCTTGCGATTATAAGAATTTGAGCTTGCGGTATGAACAAGCTATCCACTTCAAAATTTCGACAGATGTCCAGCGGCTGAAATCGTTTGAGTTGTTGATACGTTGTAGGATTTCCTTCTGGAAGGCTCTGTACAGCCTCGAATAACCGCTTTACAGTAAACTGACCTTCAAGCTCTACAAGAACCAGCCTCACACAAAGAAACAAGCCTAAGTATCACCAACAAATTAACCAAGATGGTTTTTAAGTCGGTTATGGTGCTTACCAGTCGCTTTATTCACAACAATTTTCTCGACCTCGTCGTTAACGACGGGAGCAAACCTTCTCGGAGTTTCATTAGTTCCTCATGGGCATGTAGTCGAATATCGATGTCGATAATAGCTCGTTGATCATGTTCGCTTAGGGAAATGGCTGGCCTCCTTCTGAGGACGCTCTATATGCGAGCATTTTCCGCTTGCTTGCACCAGTGGTATGCATCGAGGTTCTGTACCCAGGCACCAAAGATGTTTTTTGAATTAACTCAGCCCTTGAAATCTTTCATTCTTGTCGAAGTCGGACAGCGACAAAATTCTACCTTATCATTCTCCTCGAAACATTACATACGTTGCCACGATGAATTTTATCAAACATGAACTCGACTTCATGACAGTTATTCAGCAGCCTGGGCCTTTCAAGCGACAACGAATCATTGGAAATGAATGGTCAGTCAAAGTCGTTGAGGATATCCCATTGTCGCTATCCATCATTGAACTAGACATGATCTCAGTTTCGGATATGTTAAACACGGATGCCTTTCAGGAACCGACGGAAAATTTCTACAACTATGATTGCTGGTGAGTTTATTTCTATTGCACGAGCTCTGTTAAATGTAGTGTCTAAAGTGTGATAGTGCTTGTTATCCTTCCCTAAGAATATCAACCCACTGGTGCATTCACGAGGAGTTCTCGTTCCTTCTTCGTCCTTGCGAAATTTTATGTTATTTTCAAGTATTAATTATGATTTATATTTTCTACCTTGCAGGGTCTTAACCAAAGGTCCCTAGCTGTCCGAGGCTATTGTGGCAATAACTAGCGAATCCTGGTAGAATAAAGGAGATTCACAAGAGGAGAGTGTAGAAAAAGAGAGAGGGAAGATTAGGACAGGAAGAATTAGGCTAGAAATATTATAAAGATATAGGAAAGTAACGGCTGAATTTGGCATACTCCATTTCCCATCTACTAACTTATAACTAATCCCTTCCATCATTATTAATTCAATTTCTTTGCTAGATATCTATAACGGCTCTGGTGGTCCTATCATTGATTAAAAAGAAGGGAAATAGAAAGTGAATAGAAGTAGGCACAAATGAAATATTGATACTTTTGTTGCATATCTGAATTCTCATGGTAATTCCCCAATCCCCAATGGTAATTAGGGAATTACCACAAAAAGGGAAAGCAGGTACAAGTGAAAGAAATATTGATACTTTTGTTGTATATCTGAATTTTCGGGGAAATTCCCCAATTACCACAAAAAACAAAGTAACCACAAGTGAAATACTGATATTTTTGTTGCACATCTCAATTCCCGTGGTAATTCCCCAATTCACAAGTGATAATTCCCCAATTCCCCAGCGGTAATTCGCCAATCCCCCAGTGGTAATTCCCCAATTACCACAGAAAACGGAACACAAGACCTTACAACCAAACTCCAGTCAACCATCCATCCACCTAATCCATAACAACACAGCAAACACAAAACAACAAATCCAAAAATATCCAATATCCAATATACGATGTACTTACAAGTAAAAAGATACACTCCATTTCTTTTCATTTTATTTTTACTTATTGTATAGGTAGGTATTGTAGGTATAGTACTACTTTATCTACTTCCATCTATACACTCAACACCTAATATTCACCACTCATCAGCCACTCAAAACCCAACACCAAAACCAAAACCAAAACCCAAAAAAATACTCAAAGAAACCAACATCAACATCAAATAAAATCAACAAAACCAAAGCAGAATAGAATAACATCTCACAACAGTAATCTTAGTATACAGAAGACGAAAAAAATCCCCAGGTAAACTACCTACCTATCTACCTAGCTAGTATTTCCTCACTAATATGCGTACTTGGTGCATGGGGAACTAGCTTTGTGTTTTGATTTACCTAGTAGTACCTAATAGTTGTGGAAGTAGTACAAGTATAGAATAGAGGAATAGGAGGAAAAGATTAGGTGGATAATAAGCGGATGATACCTAAGAGAAGGAACCGGTACCTACCTAATCACTGGATAGTAAGATTAGGAACAAGGAACCATGATGGAAAACACATATCCCATTTCAGACTTCCAAAATGTGATTTTCTCTCCTTTCGTACCATCTAATTAGTACACCTACGAAGATTCACCACCCAAAATCTTTAGTTCCCCACCCAAAAACTCCTCCGCATTAACCAACTCCGTACTTCCATAAACCACTCTTCTCTTCCCAATTCCACTACCTCCGCCCTCCTTATTTACCCTCCTCGCCCACTCCTGCAAATTACCATACTCGTCCATACTACCTCCACCAACTGTAAAAACAATCGCCTCAGTAAACCCTTGTCTACGCATTCCAAAACTTGGGGTGATACCAGGCCCTGCTAGACCACCTGGCATTTCATTCCTTCTACTTGCACTAGCTGGAGGTACGGTACCTCTTGCATTTGCCGATCTAGGATCAAAGTAGAGATAATCTTCGGTTTTTGCAATAGCGGAGCTAGAAGCTGATGAAGGATCCATGATAGATTCTGTAATTTTTGTAACAGTAAGATCGCGATTTGCGGGGAGGAAATTCTTCACTCCAGAAATGATATTATCAAAATTGGTAGTGATACCAGTTTCTTTGAGGGACGTGGTGAGGCGGGAGGAAATGGAAGAAAGACCACGGAAAAGATCACCGGATGTACTTGGTGGTTGAGAAGCGGGTGTAGGGGCCGTGGTGAGCATGGTCATACGGGTTGTGGTACGAACTCTGAGGCAATTGTCAGTTGAATGACCTGACTATTAGTACAAGGCCGAGAAACTTACTGTTTGACATATGACAGAGATGTAGTATCAGCACCTGCAGCTTTCAATGACTCTTCAAATTTGTCCATCTCTGCTCTTGTAATTTCTTGCTCGGTACTTAAGTACCATATGATGAACAATCTCAATTTATCCGTTGGTTCTTTGCCTTTATCCGGATCATTTATCACCTCAAGCATTTGTGCCTTCGTTTGCTTCATAATGTTTTCCTCCATTTGATAAAAGTTGTCTAATTGTCGGTCCTTTATGCCGGTCAGAAGTCCAGCTAATATATTCATATGCATATCCAGCACAGCTTTTCGTTCCCTCAATTCTGGAAGTAAGGTAATGGCAGCTTTCAGATGTTGTGCTGAAGCACTCGTATCATTTTGAAGATCTTCTATGGAAGAAGCTCCAGTCTTCTTCGTTATATCATTTGCATCGGCCTTATATCGCATCAATTCTGCATCAATATCCTCCGCTACCTGTGGAAATGGTACAGCAGAATTTTTCGCCCAAAAGAAATCGTTTGCATTTAAATCGTATGCCTTCTTAGTTGTACCCTTTGCCGGATTCTCTTCATCAATTGGTGTCTCGACGGTAATTCGATTCAACTTCATTTTAAGAACATCGTGTACGAGTGATTGATATGTCCAAGAATGCGACAGCATAGGTATTAAATCAACATTTCGATCAAGGATAATAAGAACAGGTCGTGAAGAAGGCGCAGTAGTAGATTGTCGATTGCTTGGGGCAGAGAATAAATTGTCTTTCGAATTGAGGATGTGATCTCGTAATTTTCGATCGAGCTTAGCAGAAATCATTTCTGCAGCTGCACCAGGAGGACATCTAATTATCGGCATGACACCTTTTGAAAGTTAGCTAAATGTGAATATACAATTGCTAAAGATCTTACCCATTGTGACCATAACACTGAAAAGTCCACTGACGATCCTATCAACCACATTGTCCAATTCCTCATCCTTTGTCTTTGCGCTGTTTAATGCCCAATACGTATTCTCCTTTCTCATACCAAGACTGAACAAATCTGGTTCACCCACAATGAAATTGAGGTATTGATCATAGAATTGAGCAATATTTTCGGATGTTCCAGCTTCTGCCGTTTGTTTTGCGAAATCTTCTAGTAATGCGCGGGGTATCGAGGAGAGAAAGTTGATGTAGGCAGGGGAATAGAGACCTCTGGAGAGATCACTGGTGATGCCCTTTAGGTTTGCTTCAGTAGGTTCGACTAAATATAATACTGGGACATCTGGAATAGGATGACGATTTGCTGATATATGCCTAACTTCGTCAGTACTTTTAAAGTAACATCTAAGCTCTTGTTTCCCCGCGCATGAACATACATATGCATTGTAACTCCCCAGGCTCTTAAATCACTGACCCGTAGTACACTGCTGATAACATCTCGTCCTAAGTCATCGAAGACCAACACTTTCCATATTGGTTCCCCATCTTCATTTAGAATTGGTACTGATGGAACCGCAATTCCAGTGTGTGAGGTTTGATCGTGGGAATTTGCAGATTCGGGAGAGTCATGGTTCAAATTTAGCATGCGCTCAATTGATCCTGTAGCCAGATTGTTAGTACATGACTATGCTGAAGGACTGGAAGATTTGGGATATATTTACATACTGATCTGACGATCCCGGAGTGAGTTGTGAGAAGCTGCCATCTTTGTTGCTGATTTAAAAGGCTGAACTTCAGCCAAATTACCTAGAATATATCATGTAATATCAGATCAGACCGACAAGCGCAATAATAGAAATAGATGAAGCTCACGATCAAGTGAAGCGTAAAATCATTCGACTTCTTGTCAAGGACACATTTGCGACTTTTGCGATAATAGCTTATCCCCAAATCTTAGGTTTCCCGATTTCGAGTGAATAACCCATGGGCCATAACCGTGGACCCTACCACCTACCACCTACCGTACCTATCTAGGTATCAATCGGTTGGGTGAATGACTAAGAATGATCTAGCGTCATTAAAATAGTACAAGTTCTTACCAAATAGCGAAACGACTGGCAGGCGAACTAAAAGGACCTTCCCTTTCTTCAGATTAACAGGTCATTCCCGTCGATTTTCTGTTCCTTCATTTAATCAACAACGCAACAACAACGCCATCAGCAAATTTCGTGTTTTCCATACTCCTTTGACCTTCTTTAAATTCCCAACTCTACAGCTCTTCAACACGTCAACACGTCAACTCTCCCCCCAATTTTCATCATCAAACTGCCCGTTTACAAGTTCTCTTTGATTGTTTATTATGGCCGCGACTTCTAATCAGAACATATGATCGTACAAACTAATTACCTATTGAAAACAAAAAGTGACCGGATTTGAAAAGAAAAGGCTGCTGGTTCGCTCCTAAGAGCATAACTTTAGAGAAGAAAACAAAAGAAAAGGAAACTGGAGGAAGGATCTGAGAGCGCAAAGCAGAAAGAATCAAAAGAGAAAAAGGGTACGGTAACACCTTGAATACACGCATCAAATTTGATAAGCCATGCCATTGAAGCTGGCAAAATTATCTACAATTACACTTTTACCCCCCTCCCCTACCAAAAAATTGTATTGCCATCTCCAAGAATCCTCAATCTGCCTAGACATAAAGCTTTTACGCTTTTGCTTTCGCATAGAGGTCGAAAGAGAGCGCATTATCAACGTGCAAGGTTGAGACATCATAAGTTGCCCATATCGTATAGCACAGTGAAAAGAAGAGATCCTTTCCATACGAAAGATCTCCTATCTACATCATTGTTGCAGAGAGGGTTTACTCATATGTCTAGAACCTGGCTGTACTGGACTATATTGTACTGTGCTGCCGCTGTTGTACTTCTTTTTAACGATAGTATCTCTTGGCCGTCCGGCTCCTGGTGTTTTAAAAAAGTGTGTGATGGTACAGCTGAGTGTACTCGAACAAAGGGTACTTTCATGGGAACATCACGCACTGGTAAATAACCCAGAGGTTAGGTGTGATAACTGTCGATTTCATACTTCATCTAACTCACTTATCATTTACAATACAAACTGTGATGATTAAGGGAGTGGAAGAAGTGTGCTATCAGAAGCATTCATTCATCCATTCATTCATCAATTACCTTCTATTACCTACCACTACCTTTGAAAAAAAAAAATCTTTCAGCAGATGGTCAAGAGAGTGCAAAGAATGCAGGCATCATCATCCGTGGCTTTTGCATACTATTCACAGAAATACACACCAGGACACACAATATTTTCCTGGCCCACCAAATTTATTTTTTTCCTTTATTTCCCTTTGGTCACATTTTCACTTTACGCCAGCCATCAAGATCGGACCCTTTCATCCTAATTCGCTGGGGTTGCTTGATCGAAAATCCTTTGTTAATTAATAGCTAATTCATATTTTCGTCTAGCTCACCAATAAGACCGTGTCAAATCATCCACTTTATCTTAAATCGAATAGTCGATAATTCCAGATTTGGTCCTGTACCTTTCCAGACACACCACATTTTCTTTTTAGACACGCCCTGAGCCGAGCCGATCCGAGAGGTTGGATCCTTCTCACTTTTTCAGTTACCCGCACTAGGCGCATTTTACCGAGTCATTTTTCAACTTCCGTCTTTCACTAGTTCACGTGACTGGCTCTTTAATTCCTCGGTTCAAGATGGACGGTGATAATCATGGCTATATACCAGATGATGTCGACTTCGATGGTTTATTGAATAATGCTCCTGTTTGGCCAAATACCGCAGAACAATATGGATTCCAGCAGCAGCAAACCCAGCCTCAGCCACAACAACAACAGCAGCAGCAGCAGCACATACAAGCAGATCCATATGCTAGATATTCTACCAATCAACCTTCTTATGGACAGCAGTATGATCTCTCTCATCAACAACATTCATACAATTCTCTATCATACTCAAGCAATCCTGCATATTCTGCTCAGTACCAACATGTTGGACCATCAGATTTGTTCGGTCCTCCCTCTTACAGCCTCGATCCTTCCATGCAAGAATCAAGCTCATATCATGGAGCTCAAACATCTTTCCCGTATCAACAAAATGCTCCCCAACATCCCACAATTTCACCTCAAACTCTTCAGTATAATAGCATGCTGGCTCAACAGCAGTTGAATAGTGGGATCGCGTCGGCTGCGTTTCAACGATCAAATAGTGGAATCGGTAGTAAACCTGATTATAGCTATGGTCGAAGGGCACAAACTAATGACAACCATTTCTTCAATCAACCTCAGAATGGTATTGTGCCCCAAAAAATGAGCCAGAGCTTATCCAACAATACTGTGCAGTATCCTCCCATTGCCGCAGATCTTGGTCCAAAGGAGGAGGTGGAGCAACATGTCCCGCTTGAAGAGAAGTACCCCGTCGCGGCACCCGCTGCTGCTACTCCTCCTCGTCAACGAGAGAATGCTCCCGAATACAAACTTGTTGCTCCGGCACCGAACCCACTCCGAATCACTCATCCAAATCTTGTTGCGAACAATACCTCTTCAAGACCTCGGTTCCCGTATGCTCCATTCGTTTCATGGGAAGATACGCCTATACAAGTTCCTCCTGGACTAAAAAGTCAGTACATCTGGATTTCCCTCGTTTGATACGAAATTTTGCTAATAACTGTTCTCTAGATACCATTCCAAAGTTTCACCCGAGGAAATCAAGAAGTGGAAAAGAGCTTGTAGTGGGGCTAATTAAATCAAGTGAGTATCATTGGACACCTTTTTGTACCTCAATATTGATATCTCGGTTAGAAACTTCAACGCCTGCCAAAATCTCACAGAAAATTCGCGTCCCAAGGGAAAAGAAAACACACGTTAGCACTTACAAAGGCACCGGCAGATCGGCGTTTGATAAAGATTTCAATGTACGTGCCGATGGTACAAGCACACCAAATAAGTCTCCTGCAACATCCACGGAATCAAGCTCTTCAGAGGAAGAATCAAGTTCGGAAGAAGAATCTGAATATGAAGACGATAATGAAGAAGAGATGCCACCGCCAATAGATATCAGTACTGTAAGTACACGTCTCTTCCCATTAATCCTTGAATGTGGCCTTCATTGTGTGAATGACATGCAAGCGCCGTTACCACTCCTCATCATGATATTTAACGCGTTCTGTGTGAACTGATTCGATGCATCATAATGAGTCATGTTAGCCTGCTCGCATACCTCTTTTGACACTGAAAACCTGCAATTCGTGTCTGATGCCTTTAGAAGGCCACTAAAACGAATACTAACAATAATCAATACAGGTTCGTGAACTCACGCGTCCCAATGATATCCCTAATGCTGCCCGATGGGATGCCATAGGAATCATCTGGAAGGATCCCAATTCCACTCCAAGTGCGGCTGCTATTACAAGTGCTATGAACGATTATGCCAATACGGTTATTGCGCTTCGAACTCAAATCAAGGAAACTGCTGCAAAGATCGAAGAAGTGACCACATCTAAAGCTCCCGAAGCACAAATACAAAAACTCAAGACGCTTCGTTCCGAACAAGTTGATGCCCTCTATCAGACAATTGAGGCGGCAAACAAGCTTGGCTACGGTCCAATCGTTGAGAATCTTGGTGGTCATCAAAAGTTAGTAAGTGGTCTAACAGCCACACTCATCGAATGTACGAAAACAGAGGACTATCTTGGTAAACTTCCACGGGCTGTATTCGCTTTACTTGCCAAATTTCAAACACTTACAGAAGACCTACTCAAGAAGAGTAAATTTGATGCTCTTGCAAAGCGTTGGAATAAGAAAGGAGATCAAGAAATCAAGGATTACATTAAGATTATAATAGAGAGCACAACCGACGCAAAGGAAAGAGCTTCTAAGATAGAGCAGACAACGTCTAGTGTTGAAGACACCAAGAAGAAGCTTGAAAAGATAGAACAAATTAAATCTCGAGCTGAAACCATAAAGCCCACAGCGACTAGTCAAGGTTCGAAGAGACCTCATGAAGGAGATAGCACCAATGGCAAACCAAATAAAAAGTTCGCTACTGATGTTTCCGGTGCCCCTACTTCGACATCAAAATTACCCCCAATACCCAAGAGACCAAATGCCAATCTTCTTGGCATTTCTTCGAAACCAACTCCAAAGCCTACTCCGAAGGTTGCTCCACCCAAGAAGAAGGAACCATCCCCACCAATATCATCCAGACTAGGAGACATCTTAGCCAGCATTGAAAAGCCACCTGAGCCACCAAAGAAGGCTGCACCGGCGGCTGGACCTCCAGAGACCGCAGAGGAAAAGAAGAGACGTGAGCGAAAAGAAAGTCGACGACATCTCAGAGTCAAATTCAAGCCAGATGATGAGCTTGAGCAAATTCGTTTGTTCAAACATGAAGTGGCAGAAGATGAGGGACGACAAGATAACATGTTGAGAGATGCACATAATAATCATTCTGAAGGTATGATGCATAAGCAACGTGTTAAGGTTACAGATGACGAAGATGATGAACCTATGTCCGCTACGATTGAAGAACGACCTTATCCTAATCTGGTTGAAGTTGACCTTTCCAACCTTGATAAAAACACTACTTATGGTCCAAGTTACATCACCAGAGGCGGAAATGTCAAGTTTGTTACCCCAGAGCAACAAGTACAAGAGCGACGAGAGGCCAATGAGTTACTTGTTATCTATAATGATCCTTCGGAAATTCCACCTTCTGCGAAAGAACCATCTTCTGCAAATAACGCCGCTACTACCATGGCAAAACAATTGAAGTATCCAAGTGCCCCTTGGTTGATACAAAGGCTACATGACATCCATCAGTATGGTCCAGATTATGCACGTACTCTCGCGATTAGTCGTCTTGAAGAAAGAAAGTACAAAGAAATGCGAGACAACCAGGCCCGTGGTTTCACACAAAATGCTTCAAACTCAAATGATGTCTCTTCAACTTTACAACAACTTGGTGGAGTACCAAAATCTAACGCCATCATGGACGCAGCATGGGATAACTTGCAACGTGTTGTCGCGACATTGAAAGGAAAGCCATACCCAGCTATCGAACCACCTGAATGGATGAACGAAGCTCAAAAGAAGGACTGGTGGGATGGTTATAATAAGGATCACCCTAATGCTGCAGAAGAGAGGTTTCTTGCTCAAATGCAAGCTCCTCAAGCACCGCCCGCACCACCAATGGTACCTGCTATGCCAACTCCCCAAATGCAGAATTATCAACCACAAATGAGTCAGCCAGTTATGAATTATCAAGCGCCTGTTCCAGACGTCAACCAACAGGTTCAACAGTACCTTGCTGGTTTGACTGGTGGTAGTAATATGAGTGTAGATAATACTTCACCAGCTACTCAACAATTCGATTTCAGCGCTTGGTCCAACAATCCTGCACTTCAAAGCTACGCACCATCCCTTACCAACGACAGCTCCTCGTCACGACAATGGGCATCCGGATATCAAAACGTTGAGAATCGGGAATCTCGAGGAGGAAAGAACAACCATTTCAACGATAACTGGAAGCGAAAAAAGGGTTCGGAATGGAAGAAAGATTCAAAGTGGGAACCATTAGATGAAAATGGAAATTACAAGGGCAAAAAACAGCCATGCAAGTTTTGGGGTGAGGGAAAATGTGCTAAGGGTGCTGCTTGTACTTATTCACATGAACCTGAGGATCAGGGAATGGGTGGAGGTAATGGACGTGATCGTTATTGAGTTGCGATGCGTCTGCATATGAACGTGGATATTTTTGTCTTTTGCAAGAATTGCATGGTATGCATGGCATTGAAGGCGTTCTGGATGAGACGAAGAAGATAAGACACGTAATTTTCTTTCTTTTTCGAGAAGATTCGAGTTTCCGGTTTTGGTACGCACACAATACTTGATTACATCAATACAGCCGTGGTATACGGCACACTCTTTTCCTTTTTTTTTCCGATGAGTCGACATGGATGGGATGGGCAGAAGGTTGTACTTTTACGAATACCTTTGAAATTTGGTAAAAACTATAATGAGACATTGGTCTTGCTCTCTTTACTTTTTTTTTGTTTGCGATTTTGAGGATTTTAGCTTGGGCTGGGCTTGGGCTTTTCGTCTCATTCACTCATCCACTCACTCGCTCGCTCGTATGAGTGGGTGTGAAATGGAAGTGAGAGTGGTGAGATTCGATCGATGGATGATGGATCGAGATGGATGTGTATAAGGGGGTTTGTTTTGTAATATTAGGGGATTTGATGTATGGGGTTGGATGGGATTTATGTGGGGTATACATAGATGGGAAGGAAGAGTCAGGGAGAGGGGGAGGATGGATAAAATATCATGGAAAATGGAAGATGGAGATGGGAGATGGGCAGATGATCGTGTGAACTTGATAGAGCATGTTGAAGGTGGGGCTGGGATTTTGGGATGGAAATGAGATGATGGGATAGAGGGCGGAAGAAGTGTATTATATCTATATCAATATCAAAATCAATAGCAGTACCGATCAATAACCTGAATTATGGGTGTTTATATATATATATGAGTGTGTGTGTGTGCCGAAGCATAACTACAAGACTTTTGATCTATTTACCATCCATTTCCAAGGGAAAAGAAAAGAAAGGAAAACAAAAAATAAAACAAGATATTTTTACATTCATTCATCCCTTCATTCATTCCCCTCACCTAATCTAATCTAATCTAAATCTAAATTCATAACTATATAATCAATATCAATCAATCCCGAGTCAATAAAAATAATTGATAAATATAGAACTTGATATATATAGTAGAGCTGAATACTGAATACTGAGTTATTAGTTAGTTAGCTGTTAGATTATATCTATCTTATCCAGTTTATTAAGTAATTGGTAATTAGGTAATTAGGTAGTTGGAGTTCGAGTTGATGGGTTAGGTAGTTGGTGAGTTGGTTTTTTATACTGATATTTTTTTTTGGGAAGGGTATTGGGCGGATGATGAGGATGATGAGGATGATGAGGATGATGAGGATGATGAGGATGATGAGGATGATGAGGATGATGAGGATGATGAGGATGATGAGGATGATGAGGATGATGAGGATGATGAGGATGATGAGGATGATGAGGATGATGAGGATGATGAGGATGATGAGGATGATGAGGATGATGAGGATGATGAGGATGATGATAGATGGGATTGGAAATCCGAATATGACATGCATATGTTGGATATAAGATATAAAATGTGATGTGATGAAAATTACGAAGTTCTATATTAAGGGAAGAACTCAGGAGCGAAAGGAAGGGCTGGGGCGAGAAAAGGAAGGAAGGAAGAAAATGCACTTTTTTGTTATTTTTTAAGAGCAACGGCTTACTTCATTATACAGATGTCCTAGTTTCTCTTGAAGAAGTTTATTTTAGCACTTTAGCAATTTATTTCTTTACTATTTCTTAGCCTGGAAGTTATATGCTATGGTGTGGTAAGATTGTAAGATCTTAGGTTTGGGGATTATATGATTAGAATTAGAAAGGTAAATGTATGAGTGAGTGAGAGATGGGAGGTTAGGGTTAAGGTTATGGTTATGGTTATGTGGAGTTTATTTGAGAGTATAGTAACTAGGGTTGTGAAGTGAAGAGTGAGAGAGATTTGGGGAAGGAGGAGGGGAGGGAAATAAGGGATATGCGGAGCTCGAGTTTGATGGCTTTCTACTAGGTTGGATAAAGATATGTATTTTGATGAGAAGACTACTGTGTATCTGTTCTCTGATCAATAGGTTTGATTCCGTGACCTGAGAATGGAAAAGAGGGAAAGTGTTTCTGACTGTGATATGAGAATGCAAAAAGAGGTTGCAAAAGGTATGGATGGATCTTGATGGTGAAGAGAATTCGAATACATAGGTATGCATAGATAGATAGATAATATAAAGATTAAGTTGAAGGATTCATACTCGGTAATTAAGAAACTCGGGGGAAGAATCTTGGGGGCAAAAGGATTGTGTGGTTCGCATTGGATTCGAATCTCCACGATCGATCGCGATATAGTATACATAGGACCGTAAAAGGGGGAGGAAAACGTGATTAGTCAGACTGTATAGTCATCTGGATGTGTATTAAGCCTATATATGAAGAAGGAGCGATGAGTGAGTGCGATAATATATTCGTGGTTCGATTTTTAAGATCAATTGATGTTTGGGTTGAAGAATGTGGCATGGTGATGAACGAATATATCCTGCTCAAGTTGAAGCTAGTAGATTTTCTTTTGAGAATGATATTTTTATGTTTTTTGGTCATAATTTGCGTCAACTATATCGACTTCAGTGATCATGACCGCCTCCAAAATATAAATGGTCCTCTGCCTAACTCATTATCAAGTATCTATCCACTGATCTAATTTGATAATACTCATACATCCCTCCACATCCTTCTCCCCATCCCTATCCCTTTCACCCTCCAACACCCACCAACCTTCCATCCCCCTTCCTCACCATCAACTCCCCAAATCGCAAAACCTAAAGAACAAATCCTAATTAACAAATCCAAAACGTAAGTAAAAACACAAGTGCAACCACCGACAACCCTCTCCCTCAAAAATCTACAGCTGATTGGTTCAAAATACTTGGTTTATGTGAGACCGAGTTAACTGGGATGAATTTGGTGGCTGGAGCTGAAACATAGATTGCCGGGTGAAGATTGTGCAATTTTGGATTTAGAAATCGTGATCAGGAGATGTAATCGTGATGATGATGGGTTTGTGTAAGTAGACAGGGTCACCGGTAAGTGGTCTGGGAGGGGAAACTGGGAATTGTGCAGATGAAATGGATGAAATGGATGAAATGGGTATGTTGTTATGTGCATGATGGAGAGCTAAGGGGATACGACGGGTAGGTGAGAACGAACGGCAGAGGAAATTAAGTTCCGGTGGCTGTGGGCTGAGCGTTGATCAACGCTCAGCCCATGGCCTATTTAATCTCATGAAACTAGATAGAAGCGGGGGTTAGTAGATTAGCATGGAGTAAAAGACGGCTGGCTGAGATGTGGAAGAACGAATGCTAGGATGCTAGGTATTGGAATACTATATAAGGAATGAGGGGTAAGTCTTGGTGAGATGGGATGGTAGGACGGTGTATGAGGCATGATCTGATATGATGTGGATGTGGATGTGGATGTGGATGTGAGGTGGTGTGATTGATTGTGAGTCTATGCGCATGTGAAAATTGATGAAATGGATGGTAGAGCTGATGAGGCGTCCGGTAATATATGTAATTGTGTTTTGTGGGCATTCTTGTGAGATATGGCTTCACTTTGTGTAGCCTGTTCGGTATTGGAATGGGATAGATCAGATGCGAATGTTGGGATGTAGATGATGAGACTGGGCTAAAAGAGAGCATAGTAATCATTTTGAGCTAAGTTAAGTTGGAGAGGGGCTTCGAGATGTTCGCGGACTTCATTTGGATGATATGTCATAGGTTGATGATTCAATGTAGATTAGTGCCGCGAGTCCCGGTGAGCAAATCGCAAGAAGCAAAATACATGTTTTCAGGCATTGAGTAAGTGAGACATATATCCATGAAGACTGATATCCCAAGATATCGCCATCGCAGATCCCAAGACCAGCTTATGAATATCTAAGATAGACGGTATAAGCCATTCAACGGAAAGATATCCGGTGTAAACGTATGCGCATGCGTATGCGTGTATGTTAGTTATGCTCTCGGCCTATGTAGGATGAATTCCGCGAATATTCAATCTTATCCTGAGATAGATCTCGATCGACAACAACCTGATCCCCAAGATGATGATTGATTAGGAGAATCGCTAACTTCTCCGAGAACGGCAACAATATGGAGGTGGTAGTTTTAAAGATGACATGTGAAGAGTTTCAAAGGGAATACGGTATATAAACAGGCTTTAGGGTTTAATCCTCCACATATTTGGGCAACGGGAATTCTAGTCAGCGCCGGCCGTTTGAAAGTTTGAGATTCAATTATTAATAACCCTAGTAAATGGGGATAGATGTCTTGAAATGCCGGACTGTTTGCAAGGAAACAAGCGAGTTGCGCTATTTATGGATGTCCGGGAGATCTACTTCGTAAGGCAAACGAAGGCAAAACATGAAAGCGGCCTCGGATTTGCGGAACTACGGAAAGAGAGCTGTAAAGTAGGGCTGGCTGTATGCATATGATGTTTGCGAAGTATTCAGAAGTTTGAGGATATACGAAATTATTACGAGCGGTGAAGAAACTGATCAAGCGCGAGGAGTTGCAGGGTTACAGTCGCATTCATGTACTACCATTCCTATCATTTTGGTATGTATCGAAAACAATCCCGAGACGTATATATGAATGATGAGGGACTTGCTTGTGAGAATGAGCATGTGGAAAATTGGGGGCGATAAACAAATATAATGATGTGTTTACTTGAGTGCGTCTGAAGAAAGCAAGTACTATGTAGCCTCCGGCTATTGGATGACTAGAAAACGAGCAGTCAGTCGCTCAAGGTTGTGAGACTTCCATGCAAACTTCTTTCCCAGCTATCAAATGGCGATAATCGTGTGAAGAAAGCTTGGTAACATGTATGTTGTAGAATTGGGATGATCGAAATATATGCGCCATGAGGCATACATCTGTTGAGTTCATTGGGATATGTAGTGCTTAGGAGCTGGTTTGATTGATCGAAGGAATGGCAGCAAGTTCGGATAGAATTATCAGTTGTACAATCCAAAGAAGAAATCCTAAAATGATTAGAACTGCATCATATTTGATCATTGGGCATTTTTAGTACCAGTGAGACGAATCATGCTAGAGGGAAGGTCTCCTATGTTCAGGATACAACAAAGTAAAAATGGGTCATAAGGCCGTTTGCTAGATTGCTCCCTGTTCTCTGAGTAGTTCATGCATTGTAGCAACGGAGAAAGCCATCAAGGTCTATTATCTAGTCTTTTTAACTAATGTTTTGTGGCAAAGGTGTATTCGTGAAGTGACTAAGGAAAAGGGTCAGAAGCTGAGTCCTTGGCTTTAGAGTATAGTATTTTGGAAAACCACTTCCAAACTGGTATTAACTCGAAGTCATAATCCGTGTCTTCTTTTTATCTGCTTTCGAGGTAGCAAACTACTTGAAGTAACAGGTAGATTCATTTAGCTTAGGTGAGAGGAATTTGTTGTACTTTGATGGTTTAGCTAAATGCTCCCCCGTAAGCTTCTACAAGGCGTAAAGAACAAGGAGTCGGGGTGAAGTGAGGTAGGGTAGTGAGACCTATCCACTCGCGGCTTAGATGGAAGTCCACATCATCTCAAGAGTGAAAAGAGACTTTGGATGAATCGCCACACGGTATCGATCATACTGTAGATCCAACAACGGCATTGTGCGATGACCTCAACCCAATTAGTAGGATACCCTAGCAGGTTCAACCTTCACGAGATAAATAGAGTTGTGTTGAAATGTAATGGAATTAGTTAATGACCAGACAGTAGAAACTTTCCACCCGGCCAATGAAATACTCCGACTTTTTAGTCTGGACCCAAGGGTACGTAGAAGGTACTATATCTGAAGTGACAGTGTATATGCATTCAGCAGATATATCGAGGGCTTTGCCTGGAAAAGATGCATTTGACAAGGAATACATGCTTTTCTCGAAATCAGAAATTGTTTATCTCGAGTTCCGGTTATTGCATGTACCGTGCTACTGTAAATAACCTTGAGATGACATGACACAACACTTGACGGCATGATTTCTGATTCCAACCGCACTCTAAAAGCCACCTATTCCGGTATTCGGAGCATATAGTTTTGAGACATATAGTAAAAAAATGCCTAGAAATTTTCTACCGTGAATTGAGAATACCTCTACATAGAGTTGAGAGGCTCATGTAGATGTTGTGAGAGTATTACAAATGATTTCCGAATGATACCGTTGGAGTATTAGACTTTGACAGGAGGTGAAGGTACACGGTACACGGAATCCCTTGGTGTAACCTTCCTAACACCTTAAGTTTCCCCTCCTTGTACCGCATGAGAGAGATTCTTACCGGGCGACCAGGGTAGGACATAGCCCGAAAAGAATCAACCAATCGCTCTTGCAGCCTATGCAGATATACCTGAGGAGTGTTTGCATCGATGTGCTGACAACAAGACCGGAGGTCCACGGATAGGTGTAGATAGATTTTAGGTGGGTGAGTATTAAGTAAACATGTGAAGAATAGAATACTTCGGATGAAAAGTATGAAGAATGAATGAACCGATCTACTTCAGGGTATGTTGGATAGGGTGGGATCTGAATGGGATCTCAACGCCCAATATAGAAGCACGGGCATTTAATTTGTTTGATCTCCTCAATTTGTTCCATCTCACGTCAGAGAATTTATCACAATCACGAATCAAATGGAGTCAAACTTACAATGAATCTGAAGTTTTGGATGTACACAGCCACTCTACTCGTACTAACCCTTTGCGGTAGCTACCTAGATAGTAGATAGTAGATAGACACTAGATACTGTATCATTTTCAACAGTAGCATTGTCTGGATACAATACAGAAACTGTGTTGTGTTGCACGAGCCAAAGCACCTAGGGACTGGCCGTACACGGCGTAGAGTAGGTCTGCTTTATTTGTCGGATGGCATGTTCTGAGAGTTAGTTTTTGTGCTATGATATAACTTCTAACGAGGAGAAAGTGTGAAAGACCGTATGAGAAGTTGTCGTCTTGGTATTTTTGTTCTGCTTATCTCCAAACTCCTCAACAAGTTAAGTCCTTGGAGATCTCTTTCAGGGATCAAGATTCTAAGCTATACTCCGTAAGCCGCAGACGGGTAGACTAATTCGCTAACCTGTCCGTAAAGAGGAAGGGACAACCACTAAACACCAATATATATAGATTTGTCTACTTGAATGAAAAAGATTCGAGACTCAAATACTATATTTGGGAAGATATTTAGATTAATTTGCTATAAACGGCTCGGAATATTATAAATGGAAAAATATAACGAAATTAGTTCCCCATCATAGTTTAGCTTCGACAAAACGAGCGTCTGTTAGTCTGACCTAAATTTGGGTGATGCACCATTTTTACAATCCCAGTAGAAGATGAAACAAAAGCTCGGCCACTTAATCATGAGTTTTGACCAATTGTAATTAAATAACGGCAAGATACAGACTAGACTACAATCTGCAAATTTTTTCTTTCTTTTCCTTTCTTTCTTTTTACATCTCTTACCAACACTTCACTCATTACACACTTCCCATCAACAGAGTGGCTTTTCTTCATCTAGACCATTTTATACCCCCTTTCATCCACCCCACCCCCCAATGGATGCATATACCTTATATTCTCCGGAAGCGATGCCATTTAGAGCTTCATTCATATTGAGTGACGACATGATTCCACTATCTGGCGACGCATATTTTTATCTCAAATTCAATTATCAACATGTAGTGTTCCAAGTAAAAAGAAGAAAACTAATGAAAATTGTCATGGATCCCAGCCACCTTCGATAAGTATGTACAGAATATGTAATGTACGTACTTTACGGAGTACTTCCATGTATACAGAACAAATGCTTTTCTCCGTAGCATTTGTGTTGTTGATGGATGTGTTGGCAAGCAACAGCACAAACCTTAACAAAGCAGAAGCACGAGCTGAACACAGCGAGAATAGGATATCCATCTGATTTGAGATAGGATTGGATATGCGTCTTATGAACATATTGTAGAAAACCATTTCACTTCCCGTAAGTACTTTGGCCATGCAAATAACCCTTTTGCAGCTGTCATCGGTGGTTCCACAGCATAGTCACGATGGCAAGACAACTTATCCATAGGTCAGCCTCATGTGCATTCTCCCCTTACAGCTCTTTATACGAAGGTACATTTTGCTTCCGCGTGGCGGCAGGCATCGAACCAAACCTCCATGATCTATCCAACCCACCATCGACTAGCTCATAGCAATAGACGCTGCAACACGCACATACACACCGATTGTGCATTCGTCTTGTCATGACGAAATCACCCCTCGTCATAAGAACATATGAGATATTCTAATTATTTTGGTTGTTGTCTTCATCTGCACAAGCTTGCACCAGATTTGAAGAGACCCTCCTTGACCACCACTCACTTGCCATTCCATATTAATTTCTATCAGGCCTTAGTATTATGAGCCGATGCACTCGGACTACCGAACTGCATCGAACTGCATCTGTCCGTGAGCTCACTGGTCAGACACCAGCCAAATTGAAACGATTGAACGAATTTCCGAAATCGAACACTAGCCTTCATATCAAACATGTCATTCTAGAACAAAGGGAAGTTTGTTTGGTGGTTCTTGACTCTTGAATCATGCAAATTCAACAAATGTATCTTTTGACTGATTTACGGAAACATTGGCCAAGTCAACTCCGTGAATGATTCTACTCCATATGTTCCACACTATGATTTTTCGCATCGCATCGGCTTCCCAATGTAGCTTGTGTGGAGAGTTGGGGTCAATCGTGTGTTGTATCAATTGTGATTCACCATAACCCGGGTGAAGAAGATCCAAGTGTTCAGATGATGATCCCCATATAAAGGAAATCTCGAAACATGGCGGACCACACTGCCACACGGCCACCATGCATGGGTCTAAAATTTCCCTACCGAGCACAAGGGCCAAGAATTCTATGGGTTCACCCATAAACAGACAAAACTCGATCCAGAGAGACCCCTGGACTACTATCGACAAGGCTCCGAAGATGGGACCCAGTCTAGTTAACTTACCCAGTCAGCATGGAATAAGTGTATAACAAGAGTAAAGACTGTGGGGAATCTCAACTTCAAACACTAGACAAAGTTCCGTTTTGCTAGTGAACTCAATGCACTCAGTGCCACTCATGCAAGTTCACCACTGCTAGCCCTCGGATTGGTTCTTCATTCCTCACTGACCTTGCTTCATATCCAACATTCAATGTCTTTGCAGTACTACTTGGGGTTATGTCGGTCGCCGCCAATTGCACTCTTCTTCTGTTGTTTCCTCACCAGTATCCGATCGCAACATACCCGAAGCAGCCCTACTTCATTCATAGTCCTCTCTCACGCTCGTCCTTGGCTTCGTCCTATT